GCACATGAATAATTGAGAATATGAATATAGTAATTGTTACTTTGCACGTGTTTTATTGTAAACTCAACAGTTTATAATAATTAATAACCATTGAAGTGTTTATACATAAAAAAACCTTTGCATGCAAATAGGGACTTTATTGGTATGCCAATTATAATTATTATAATATAATATTATAATGTTTATTCTCACTTTCATTGGTACTATTGCTGCCCTATTTTGATCGTACTGTACGCCTTATTTCTAGCTACATATGATTTAATAAAAAGAAATTATATATGGAATTCACCTGACAAACTCATTCATTGCTAATTCTTCATTTAACAGATCATACAAGATTATTTGGTTGTTCATCATCATAGAAATAAATTTTCAGCAATAATTATTCATTGTGATCAGTTTTTATTCCTTCAATAATAGTTCTTTATTTAGAAAAATTGATTCCGGATAAGTTTTGTTAATTTAGTTGAATCCTTTTATGTTTTAATTTTTCCTTGATAAAAGACTCTTAAAAATTCTATTGATTCGATAAAATTTTATAATAAATTTTATGATTATAGATTTTTTCTCGCAAATATTTATGTATGAATCATTTTCTTTTGATAAAGCTATTTTGCTTGATTTTAGCTCTTAGGATTCATCTTCATCATCTCCTGCGTTGCTGATGTTTACTTTTTTTTATCCCTTGAGGTGAAACAAAGTCAACCCAAGAGCAAATGCGATTAACCAGAAATTAACTACAAAAGATATCAACCATCACAAAAAAGAATACCAAAATTTATATTGTTCAGCCGAAGCGTGCTCATACCACAACAGCAAAGAGAGGTGGTGGTTTCAACTATATCAAATAAAACATAAAATTTTGCTCAGAAAATTACTGCCTCACTTTCTTTAATTCCTCAGAGTCATCCCTAGTACTAAAAACAAACTCAAATAAATGTTTACTTCTTTAAAGCCCATCCAAAAAGATGAGAACTCCTTTGGGATGTATATAAAAAAAATGAAACCAGAATTGTTAGCAACAAACAAGTTTGAACAAATTTTGCAAACTCAAACTTATCTAGACTTCTCCAAGAAATATTTTGAAAACAAAAACAAAAAATGAATATACAAACTTAATAATCCCCCCTTAGAGAATAATTTAGTAATGTACAATCACAAATGGATCAACTTTATGCAATACCATAAAGAGCACCTTAAGCCTTAAAATCTCAAAGGGTCAACACCATGCAACCTCAATAAAATCTAACTACACTTGAACCTAACACCCGCAAGAGATCTTTGAAGTATAATTATTATACATCAAGATAGATCCAATGAAATTGAGCATACACCTACCACTAAATTTTTGTATCCTCAAAATGGTAGTCTACTTGATCTAAATGTTGCAATGATATAATCTAATACTGAGATAGATTGTGATACATAAGGTAATCTTCTTGATCATCTTCAAAAAATTTCATCTCAACATGTCTCATTTTTTTAGTTATGGTTGAAGTGGAGGAATGCATCGGATCTGTTGTGTGATAGAAAAATAAAAATTCTATAAGATGGTGGTGAGACCAGCAATTCTTTATGGCACTGAATGTTGGTTATTAAAAGAGTAGCATAAAGTTAAGTGTTGCAGAGATGAGGATGCTCAGGTGGATGAGTGGCTTCACTTTTAGAGACAGAATGCAAAACGAGTATATACGTGAAAAGGTCGGAGTACCTCCAGTGGTAGATAAGATTAAAGATAGTCATCTTAGATGGCTTGCACACACAAAACGTCGATCTTCTGATGACCTTTTAGGATAGTAGATATATTGAATTTGACATATGTTAAGAAAGGTGAATGTAGACCTAAAAAGACTTGGCTACAAAATATTGAAAAGACTTTTTTATTATATTTAAATAAGAATTAAACTCGTAAAATGACACAATGGAGAAAAAAGAATCATGTAGCTGATCCCAAGTAGTGGGATAAAGGTTTGATGTTGTTGTTGTTGCATGTCTCATTCGTCATGATATCCTTTCTGTAGACAATAAGCTAAATATTTTCAATTTATTCAAATCATATTACACCACTAAAGCTGATGAGCATGAAGCATCAACATTCAAAGTTGCACCTCACAACATACGGAGTCCATCAACATTATTAGCCTTTAAGACAATGAATACAACCTTGCTAAAAAACTTAAGCATCTCTATAGAATAGACATATTGCAACATTGAGAGCACTCAAAGATATCATACTCTTTCTCAAATCAAGTGCATGCCTCATTCAAACCAATCTCCTAGTCACTCCATCAAGTGACCTCAACTTCACGATGCCAACACCAGCAAAATTGCACACCTCTTTGCTTTCTATATAGACAACCACTATATGGATCATAACCGAAAGAAATATCTTTATTAAAAAATCTGCAATATGGACAAATTAATTTAAGAATCCAATGCTCTTTGCTTATATCTCTATCAATCATCAAACGACCATCACTCATGTCCTAAACAAAATAATTTACAACTCCACTTGCATCTGCTAACCTATCCTCACTTGCGATCGTATCCACACCACCTTCCTCCTTGTTCAAAGCACCAACATACCCTTAATAGGCCCTTTTTTCTCATAATAGAAATAACATCTTTGAACCTACCATGAGACTTGCACCTACCATGGTTAGAAATAAACACTATCTCAAAAGATTTCCTTCAATAAAAAAACCACTTAAATGGCTTTTTATTCCTACACGGCTACACCTTCAAGCTTAGCATTCAAATTTTGAAAAAGAAATTAATTATTAGCATCTACTAAGTTGATTGTTTTCTCCCTAAATAATACAGTGTCATGAAAATGCTTATAAGAGGAAAGTAAAAAAGTATGACAACAATAAAGCTTGATCTCATAATCAATAATTACATCAATATTCCTCAAATTTTTATTCATGCAATAAATCCAATTAAATATGATTTAATAGGCACACTTTCTTGCATGGGATGTAAGTAAAATCTTCGGTTTTAAAAAAAAATTGTTAGAGAAGAGTTTTGTCATTTATGAGGACTCATATTTTTTTGCTTGAGCCAAATTTTTTTTAATTTTTTATAAAATTTTCTAGAGCCATATTATTTTTATTGTTTCTTACATCTCTATCAAAATCTCCTCTATCACAGTTGAATTGCAGAGAAAGCCTTTTTACCAACTCTATCTTAGATTAATTACTCATGGTTATAGGCATATTGGTGAACCATATAACTGACATCAAGGACTTTATGGACTAAAGCAACATATATCCCCCCTTTTTTTTTTTTTTGAAAAATCAAATTTCTCAATCCCAAACTCCATGATCACCATGTTCCTCATAAATTCTCCTATGATATCAGTTAGACAAAGCATGCCAAAATTGGAAGTGTCGACCCAAGAGTAATTATAATCAAGCATCAAAACAAAACACAAAAATTCATGTGCATTGACATAAGCAATCCTATGTCCATATGTCCATAACTGCACAGAGTGGTATGGTTTCCATCAAAGTTGGAGAAAGTACAAAATTAACTCTCAAAATTATTCTCCCACTTTCTCCACTTTCTCCCTCTAATTCCTCATGGGCAACTTCACTCATAGCCAACTTCATTCTTAATAGCAAACTCAAACAACCAATTAAAAAAGACAAAAACTCAAATGAGATATACGTATGTATGCATATAATATATATAAATAATAAAGCAAATCACCCTTATCCTCCTATACCTTCTTCCTTATGCTTTGCACAATTACTTTATAAAGGTTTTCAATCCTTGATGCTACCAATCATTTGACATTGTCAGCCACCATAGTGACCCACTATCAAACACATGCTCATAACTGCCTCTTAACCAGCCCTTAGCAATTGAGTATGGACTGTGCTCACTACCTCTTCTCCAATCTTCGCAATGAAGCTCAAAGAAGATAATAAAGAAGCTTTGATTGATCTGAATGCAAGTTTTTATGGGGGTTTTTAATAGAGATGGGTTAATAGGTAAAGTCAAGAATTTGTGATCAACAAGCAAAATAGGAGCCAAAATTGTTGAAAATACAATAAGATTTGGTAGTCGCACTACTAGGAAAAACTAAAACAAAATTTATTTGCAGCAGCCAAATTTGAACAAAGTTTTAAACTCAAACTTATCTAAAATTTTCCACGGATTATTCACGGAATAATTAATGAAGTTAATATCTAAACTTAACACTCTTGCAGGCATCTTCTAAGACCATCTTGTCTAATCTTGGCATTGAATAAGATCATCTGATTACCAGGAAATTGCATCAAGTATCCAACCACATTTTTTTATGGTTGAAACATTTTTCCAAGTTCCACTCTCTCCATAAGCCACACATTACTTTGCTTCAGGATGTTTAATTTCATGTCAGTAAGTTTGATGGTCTCTTAAACCTCAACCAATGACTTCAGCATGACATTCTCCTCAAGAATTCAACCACAAAAAGTACTCATCAGATAATCGAAACCTGAAAACTGAAGCTAAAATAGATTCAACAAGAGTTTTTGAGAAATATAGGCTCAATGTCAATCCATGCAAGGGAAATCTCACAAAAAACCCCATGATAACTGAAGCAAATCAAATGCATTTAAGTCACCTTCCAATCCCACACAATAGATAATGTTTGAAAACGATAATCCAATAGGAGCCGAAGTGGCATTCTGAAAGAATGAATGAACTGCCAAAATAGTGAAGTTGAATTATTTACTTTAGCTGTTCGTCCAAGGGTGTCTGTACTAGCAAAATTCACAAATAATATATTCCATTAAAGTTGCCCTCCAAATATGCACCACTCTCTCAAATCAATTTTATGATTTCGGTAATTATCATTTCCATATCAACTTAAAACATTTAAAATTTAACTAAAGATTATAAAAATAAAATGTTGAAACTACAGACGGCATAAATTAATTATAAACCAAGCCAACGGAGTGGAGAAAAAAAAAACAAAGGAAAAACAACATATGAGGTCTTAATTAGGATACAAAGCACAGGCAGCAGCTACTGACGGCTTCCGCCGCAATATGTCCAGTAAAAGCCACCAAACACAGCATGATCCCAACTCCCATAAGCGCGCAGACGAACCTAATCGAGAAACCAACCGATACAACATCAAAACAAACCCATCCAGTACAAGAACAAAATATATTGGAAGCACTCCAGGTAATGAAAAGAAGGATAACCTAACGCTTACCAGGGAGCCGGAAGCCTATCCAGATCCAGGCTAAAGGAAAGACCATGCTTTATCGTCTGATTCAGGACCCAAACCGAGTAAATCAGTATCGAAACGCCAACGAAGGTCTGCAGGAAATTGAGCATCTTAAGAAGGAAAACAAGGCAGCTTCGACAACAGTTCGGCCTCATCTCTCTCCGTCTCCCTGTCTTCCCGCAGAAACTAAACCCTAATAAGTTTCTTCCCTAATGGAGTGCGTAACCCTGAAGAAAATCTCTCCCCACACTCGTCCCCTCGCATTCAAAGATGAAGGGGCGAGGAAAATGAAGCGATCGCGATAGAGAGACCGGAGATGAAATTGGGATTTTTTTGCTGCTGAGCGATTTGACCTTACAAGCATACTATTATTATCTAAAAGGTCGAAGCAAACGGTTGGCCGTGAGGAAGCAGCGGGAAAACAGGGAAGAAGTGATTCCGTAAGAGATTACTTTTTTTTACTATTATTTATTATTAAACAGCTGATGGCCCAATGCAGGGCTAAGAATTCAAATTGCAGCACCGCCTTCAGTCGACTTTGTGCTGAAAATTTAGATCTGGAAGTAATTCACTTGAATATAATTCAGTAAATTTAAATACGTTTGAAAATATTTATACATATTATATTTGATACGTCATCACAAAATTAGCTTGATCAGACACGAATCTCGAGGCAAAAACTAGTTGGAGACTTCAAAAATTAAATCCAGGAGCATCCGAACTCCGATTTCAACGAGCTTATAATCAAACAGAGCGTCTCGGAAATACGAACCCAACAACACCAAGATCGACCCAATCCGAGCCCAAATAAGTCCTAATCAAGAGTTCAAAGCGCTGTCGGAAGGTTCAAACCGCAATTTGAGTTACCAAACGGTCTCCGATTTTGACGAGCTTATACTCGAATCGAACGGCTTGACGAGACGAATCCAACGAGCCCAAGATCACTGAATTCCGACATCATTAAGGCCTCCAAAATCCTGTTCAAGGCCCGACACTCGGTCCCTACGTCCTGTTCAAGGCCCGACACTCAGTCCCTACGTCCTGCCGAAGACCCGACGTCTTACTCAGGACCCGACATTCAGTCCCTACGTCCTCCCAAAGACCTGACGTCTTACTTAAGTAACTGATTGTAACCTGATCACCCTTGGAGGTGATTCAGTCCTTTGTAACCAACTCAAAGTCTAGTTGAATCATTTTCAACTGGGCTAGGCCTCGTGGTTTTTTCCCTTTTAAGGGTTTTCCACGTAAAAAATCTTGTGTTCTCTGTGTGTGCTAGTTATACGTACAACGCTAAGACGTAGAATCAAATCTGTATCGCCGCGTAATTTCTAACCCGCAACAATATTATTTGCAGCACTAAATAATTTCAAAATGTTGCTTGACAGATATGAATCTCTTAGAAATATTTGAACTGTGAAGGTTTATGGAATTAAATCCGTGATCGTCTAAACATAAATTTCAACAAGTTTATAATTGAATTGAGTATATTGACAAGACGAACCCATAAACATCACAGGTGACTCAATTCAACTCCGAAGGAGCTCAAATCAAACATATATAGTATATTTGAAACTTTTGAACATAAAGTGAAGACCAAATAATCTCAAATTCTAATATGATTATAGTCAAATCGAGCGGCTCGATGAGATGAGTCTAATGAGCCTAGGATCACTTGATTCTGACATCATTAAGGTGTTTTAAATGTTTAAGAAATGATCTATGATCAAGAGGATTAATATGAATGGTACAATGGAGAGCTTTTGATTCCGATCAAATTTACCAAAATACCCTTCTCACAAAAATTATAAATAGGGCATCATTCTCTACATAAGGAGGGGAAAAAAGAGCTGAGTGAACTAAAAAACTCTATAGTATTTTCCAAACAACACCACTACCCACCACCAACAACAATTGTTATCATCTTTTTTAGTTTCTTGTGAAAATATCATCACGTTTATGCTTCATCATATTTTTATATTCCTTCCACGATTCAAGAAGTTTCTCAATTTTTTTTAAACAATAATTTTGGTTTTTAAAATAATAAAAAGAAAATTGAAAATCTTTTTAAAATAAAATAATAATATAAAAATAAAAATAAACGTGATTTCAAAGAAAGCCTAAATAAAAAAATGATATTTATATACATACCATCCCATAAAGCCTTCCTACGCAACACTTATAAAACCGCTGCTATAGCCTTTCTTGTGAACACAGATAGGTCCCAAAAAGTGTTGCGAAAGTCTAAATTTTTAGTAGTGACCACTCTATTTACATATCTGACACTCAAAATTTTCATATTACATACATACCACATATAGTTCACTTTCATAGCAAATATGACGGGAGAAATGAAATATATGTGTGATAGGAATGAAATATGGGTGACATATTTGATATTAAAATAATATTGGGTAGTATGTATGTAATATTAAAGTTTTAAGTGTTAGATATATAAGTAAAATGATATAGAGTGGTATGTATGTAAATCCTCTAAAAAATTTAAAATTCATCACCTTTAGATGATTGACTAACTAGTTCATTAACATATTTCTCGTCAGAAAGCCGCCAATTAGCCTAATTTTTAATAAAATCAGAGCTAATAAGTCACCTTTCACATGAGTCAAGAAGTAAAAAAAGTCGTGAGAAAGCCTCCACTTATACAGCCATTTTAATTCTCATTACAATATATATCAAACTTTTCTCTCTCTAGACTTAAAATGGCACACAACTTTCACGGCCTCAGAGACCACAAGTGTAATTTCAGGAATCACCACTGCCTTCTTGCTTGGCATCCTTGTAGATACAGTAGAGCACAATTTGTATAATACCGAACAACAGTCCATAAATGTTTGGTAGCTACAAATAATAGAAAAAAAGTCATTAATATAAACTTTTTTTAATTAGGTTTTGTCAACACAAAATATTTCATTTAGTTCGTATATTAATGAGTCATAAATGTCTCTTTTATAACATTAATTATGAATTTAAATTTGATGTTAAGTTGTTAACCACTCAGCTTAACATCTAATTTAAATTCATAATTAATGTTATAAAAGAGACGTTTATGACTCATTATTATACGAACTAAATGAAATATTTTGTGTTGACAAAACCTAATTAAAAAAAAAGTTGAGCGAGGGTGGTGAGGATTGGAAGCTATGCCTTGTCGGCTACTCTATTGGGCGTAGACCATTTTATGAAGCTTTGTTGGGGGCTATCAACAAGACTTGGACCCTAAAGGGTTCGTTGCAGCTACTTTCCCTAAATGATGGATTCTTCCTTCTTCGCTTCTCCTGCCAAGAAGACTTTGACATGGCGTGGTCGAGGGGTGTCTGGTTCTTGTTGGGTAAGCCTTTTGTGCTTCAGAAGTGGCACCCGAAGTTCAAACCTATTAAAGAAGAATTTTCCTCTGTTCCTATCTGGGTGAAAATTCACGACCTCCCGCTTGCTTGCTAGAATTCGGAGGGTATCTTGCGTATTGCCAGCAAGATCGGAATTCCGATAGCGGGGGCGGACAAGCTGACGGAGCAAAAGTCCAATCACTTTTGCTTGTATTTGTGTCCTGGTTGACAACCTTGCCTCTTATCCGGAGGAAATTCAAGTTTCATTTGATGGTGATGTTGTCACCTTGAAAGTTCAATATGAATGACGTCCTAATCCCTGTGAGCACTGTAAGTCTCTAATGCATTTTTCCTCTTCCTGCCCGTCAAAACCAAAATTGCCTTATGTTGATCATGTCAAAGAAATTGCGGGTAATAGGGGGAGGCGCCACAGCAGAAAGCCCAAAAACAAACCTGCTTCTCACAGTAGGAATCAATCAAGACCCCCGTCTACCTCTTCCCCTCGGCCTGTAATAGCTACTACTAGTGTAAATTATTAGGTAGGTTAAGCTTAAATTTTAATAAATTTGCTTTACGATTAGTGAAATGAAAATTCTTCATATTTAATATTAATTTAAAAATAAATTCAATAATTTAAAGGTTTCTTTTTATTAAAATATCTTACTTTTGTAATTCATTCCTGTAAAATATTAAGCATAAGAAAATAATTATGGCAGTGTATTTTTCAACTAAGTTTTATTAATACGGAAAATAATTATCTGATATAAATAAGATAGCGCTATTTAAAAAATAAATATCCGTACCACAACGTATTTATCCTTCGTTAGTACACCATAGCCCAGCCAAACGGCACTGTTAATTGTTTGGAAGAGAGATAAGTTGAATGGCATGAACTCCACACTTTTTGTGCGAATGACCACCCTCTGCAGTCTGCAGTGCAGGGAAAATTAAGCAATAATAAAATTCCATATAGCTTTATATGCTGTAGAAAAATATTACTAATTAAAATTAAAATTTTTTAATTACCATAACGCTGAGAGGAGCAGCAAAGACTCTCACAGAGAAGACAACACAGATCCACCCGAGTATAATCAAGCGCTTGTGTCCATGAAAAAGGAGAGTGACAGTTAGCAGAATCATCCCGAGCATAGCGACGTTGAGGAAGATGATCATCCCAATACTGAATTTCTATCATTAGTAAAAAAATTTGAATGTGTACACTACGGGAAAACACGCGAATACCGGCGGAAACTTTTGGACGGTAATAAACAGCGCAGTCACCGGCGGATTTGTTCGACGTAAGGTTTGCGTCAACTGTTCCGGCGCAACATACGTCGGAAATTCACCGACGCCTTGTCCACCGGAAAAACCGACGGTATAGGGATGCCTGAACCATTTCCGTCGCATGTTTAGGCGGAACTATTCCTGCGTACGGTACCGGCGGATAGTGCGCCGGCTTATTTAAACTCAACGAAATATATCCGACGGATTATACGTCGGAAATTATTTATCGACGCGGCCAAAACCGGCGTATGAATTTCCGCCGAAAAGTCCGACGGAAACGTATGATTCCGTCGGATTATCTATGTTTTCCGGCGGATTGTGTCCGCCGGTAATTACGGGTTTTCCTGTAGTGGTAGTTGATAATAAAGATAGTGAATTACACAGCTCATTATTTTGGTTAGTTGATTGGGAGCTTTGGCTACTAATCAAGAGGTTTTGAATTCGAGTTTTACGAATATGGTGTGTATGAATTTATCTTATTTTTTTTATGTGTATGAATTCGTCTTAATTAAATGACAAAAAAAAAATGCTGAATTCTAAAAATGGAAATGAAGTGAAAAAAAGAAGAATATGCTTTCTTGTTTTTTTTTTAGATTATGCTTTCCTTCTGAACTCTTAATTAGCACAAAAGTAAATTATTGGTTTAGTAAGATGATTAACGCATGTATACATACAGTGATAGAAAAGAAGCTCGCTCGAAATTTACTCAACCTGTAATATAATTAGTGTAAAATAATTTATTAAATAATTATTGAATTAATCAAAATTGAAGATAAAGCTTTTTGATTTTTAAAA